CCTTGCACACTTGCACCTTGCATACCTGCTCCTTGCACGCTTGCTCCTTGCATGCTGCTCCTTGCACACTTGCTCCTTGCATGCTTGTGGCTTGCATGCTACCCCTTGCAGGCTTGTTCCTTGCAAGCTTGCTCTCTTATGCCTTGCACACTGCACCTTGCACACTTGTACCTTGCATGCTCGCACCTTGCACACCTGCTCCTTGCACACCTGCTCCTTGCACACTTGCTCCTTGCATGCTACCCCTTGCAGGCTTGTTCCTTGCAAGCTTGCTCTCTTATGCCTTGCACACTGCACCTTGCACACTTGCACCTTGCATGCTTGCTCCTTGCATGCTTCTCCTTGCACACCTGCTCCTTGCACACATTTTCTATGCATGCTTGCTCCTTGCACGCTTGTGCCTTGCACACTGCCCCTTGCACACCTGCTCCTCATACACTTGTTCCTTGCATGCTTGCCCCTTACATGCTTGCTCCTTGCACACCTGCTCCTCGCATACTTTTCCTTGCACACTACCCCTTGCATGCTTGCTCCTTGCACACCTGCTCCTTGCACACTTGTGCCTTGCACGCTGCCCCTTGCATACCTGCTCCTCGCACACTTGCTCCTTGCATGCTTGCTCCTTACACACTTGTTCCTTGCATGCCTGCTCCTCGCATACTTTTCCTTGCACGCTGCCCCTTGCATGTTTGCTCCTTGCACACTTGCTCCTTCCATGCTTGCTCCCTGCACACGCACTCCTTGCAGCCACGCCGCATGGCCGTGCACGCCGCGCTGCTCTCGCCTCGTGCACTTTGCCCCCGCTGCCCACGTGCCGCTCGCTCCCGTGCACCCTGTCCTGGCCCCGAGCACTGTCCCCGAGCGCTGTCCCCATGTCCCCGTGCACCTTGTCCCGTGCACGTCGCCCTCCAAACATTGCCCCAGCCTGCCCCGGGGCCCGTGCACGCCACCAGCCGCACGCCAACCCTTTGCACGCTTGCTCCTTGCACGCTTCCCTGGCCTGCTCTTGGGCACGCCGCATCCTTGCACACTACCCCTGTGCACGCTGCCCCTTTGCACCATGCAGCCCCAATGCATGCTGTGCGCTTGCACGCTGCTTTTTTGCATGCTGCTCCCTTGCACACCGTTCCCTTGCACGCCTCTTGCACATCACTCTTGCACACCGCTCCCTTGCATGCCACTCACTTGCATGCTGCATTCTTGCACACTACTCTTGCACACTACCCTTGCACACCGCTCTCTTGCACATTTCCCTTGCACGCCACTCTCTTGCACACCGCTGTTGTACACCACTCCCTTGCATGCCGCTCACTTGCATACCATTCCCTTGCACACTTCTCTTGCACACAGTTCCATTGCATGGCACTCTGGCACACCACTCCCTTGCACAATTCTCTTGCACACCACTCCCTTGCGCACTGCTCTTGCACAGAGCTGTCTTGCACGCTGCACTCTTCCCGTCACTCTCTTGCACACTGCACTCTTGCACAGTGCTCTCTTGCATGCCGCTCCCTTGCACGTCGCTCCCTTACACACTGCTCTTGTGCACCACTCCCTTGCACACCGCTCACTTCCACACTGCTCCCTTGCACACCGCTCTTGCACACTGCTCCCTTGCACACTGCTCTTGCATGCTGCACTCTTGCAAGGTGCTCTCTTGCACGTCACTCCCTTGCACACTGCTCTTGCATGCTGCACTCTTGCAAGTCGCTCCCTTGCACACTGCTCTTGCAAGTCACTCTCTTGCATGCTGCACTCTTGCAAGTCATTCCCTTGCACGCTTCTCCTTTGCACGCTGCACTCTTGCACGTCGCCCCCTTGCACACTGCTCTTGCATGCTGCACTCTTGCAAGTCACTCCCTTGCACACTGCTCTTGCACGCTGCACTCTTGCAAGTCGTTCCCTTGCACACTGCTCTTGCATGCTGCACTCTTGCAAGTCGCTCCCTTGCACACTGCTCTTGCAAGTCACTCTCTTGCATGCTGCACTCTTCCACGCTGCTCCCTTGCAAGTTGCTCTTGCACGCTGCACTTTTGCAAGTCGCTCTCTTGCACGCTGCTCCCTTGCACATTGCTCTTGCACGCTGCACTCTCGCAAGTCACTCTCTTGCATGCTGCACTCTTGCAAGTCGCTCCCTTGCACGCTGCTCTTACACGCTGCACTCTTGCAAGTCGCTCTCTTGCACGTCGCTCCCTTGCACACTGCTCTTGCATGCTGCACTCTTGCAAGGTGCTCTCTTGCACGTCACTCCCTTGCACACTGCTCTTGCATGCTGCACTCTTGCAAGTCGCTCCCTTGCACACTGCTCTTGCAAGTCACTCTCTTGCATGCTGCACTCTTGCAAGTCATTCCCTTGCACGCTTCTCCTTTGCACGCTGCACTCTTGCAAGTCGCCCCCTTGCACACTGCTCTTGCACGCTGCTCTCTTGCAAGTCACTCTCTTGCACGCTTCATTACACGACCCCGTTGCAAGACCTCGTTGCAAAACCTCATTGCACGACCCCATTGCAAAACGTCATTACACGACCCCGTTGCAAGACCTCGTTGCAAAACCTCATTGCACGACCCCATTGCAAAACGTCATTACACGACCCCGTTGCAAGACCTCGTTGCAAAACCTCATTGCACGACCCCATTGCAAAACGTCATTGCACGACCCCGTTGCAAGACCTCGTTGCAAAACCTCATTGCACGACCCCATTGCAAAACGTCATTGCACGACCCCATTGCAACACCACGTTGCACGACCCCATTGCAACACCGCGTTGCACGACCCCGTTGCAAGACCCCATTGCAAGACCCCATTGCACGACCCCGTTGCACGACCCCATTGCACGACCCCATTGCAAGACCTCATTGCACGACCCCATTGCAACATCGCGTTGCACGACCCCATTGCAACAACGCGTTGCACGACCCCGTTGCAAAACCTCATTGCACGACCCCATTGCAAAACCTCATTACATGACCCCCATTGCAACAATGCGTTGCACGACCCTGTTGCAAAACCTCATTGCACGACCCCATTGCAAGACCCCCTTGCACAACTCCCTTGCACGACCCCAATGCAAGACCCCCAGACCCCCCTTGGCCCTGCGTCTGCCGCCTCCCCACTCTCCTCCTGCAGCCCCATTAAAGCATCGTTGCTGCGAGGCTGCAGCCTCTGCACAGACCAGGTGCCTCCGATCGCTGCAAGCGGCTGCGGTTTGTGGCATGCATGAGTCCATCCCACGTATCCATGTGTCCATCCATGCATCCATCCATGCATCCATCCATGCAGCTGTGTGTCTGTCTGCATGTTCATCCATGCATCCATCTATGCATGCATCCATGCATCCGTCTGTGCAGCTGCGTGTCCATCCGCATGTCCATCCATGCATCCATCCGTGCATCCATCCACACGTCCACCCTCTGCAGAGTCTCCTTGGGTTCCATGGGGAGCAGAGCCATGATCCAGTGGGATGCAGAGGGAGGAAGGACGGTGGGGAAAGAGCATCATCCCAGCGGGATGCAGGGCCATGAGGGCAGTGGGAATGGGAGCATCATCCAGGCAGGATGCGCAGGGCAATGGAATCTGGAGCATCCCCTGGATGGGATGCAGAGGGCAATGGGATTCGGAGCATCATCCAGGCAGGATGCACAGGGCAACGGGATCTGGAGCATCGCCTGGATGGGATGCACAGGGCAACGGGATCCAGAGCATCATCCAGGCAGGATGCACAGGGCAAAGGGATCCAGAGCATCCCTTGGATGGGATGCACAGGACAATGGGATCCGGAGCATCCAGTGGATGCAGAGAGGGATGCAGGTGGCGGGGTGGCAATGGGATCCGGAGCATCATCCAGGCAGGATGCGCAGGGCAATGGGATCCAGAGCATCCCTTGGATGGGATGCACAGGGCAATGGGATCTGGAACATCATCCAGGCAGGATGCACAGGGCAAAGGGATCCAGAGCATCCCTTGGATGGGATGCACAGGACAATGGGATCCGGAGCATCCAGTGGATGCAGAGAGGGATGCAGGGGGCTCCATGCTCTGCAAAACACCCCTCCACACGTTGTGCAACACCCTGGGCATGTTGTGCAACACCCTGGGCGCATTGTGCATTTGCGTGACACCCCTGCGGCGCCTTGAGTGCTACCTGTGGCCGCTTGTGCAATCCTTGTCACGGCACGTTGTGCAACACACCCGCGGCACGTTGTGCGACACCCGTGCACGTTGTGCAACACCCGCGCGCGTTGTGCAACGCTCCTGGG